TACACGCAAACAAAACAACCTTTTTTATATTTAAAATATTAATTAATTAATTCAATTTAAATTAAATATTTGGTGTTTTAAATATTATGTAAAGAGAAAAAATATTTAATTTGCAGGTCCTAAAAAGTTACCCAAACTTATAAGGTATACAGTTATTAGACTTGAAAAAGAAAAATTTATATATTTATTTATACAAAAAATACCATAGGTGTACCTATGGTATTTCTAATTAATTAACTATAGTTAATTGATTAGAATTCGCCACCAACCATTATTAATACCTACTTATACAATATTACTTATGATGCACCAAAATAGTCATAGGTTGTATACAATACTTAAGTAGGTAATAGGTAAAAACTAAAAAAAAAAAAATATATTTATACATTATCAATACAAAAAATATAGGGGGTTGGGTATACCCCCTATAATTTTTGTATTGATAATTAAAATGTGTAATACAATACTTACCAATACAAAAAATAAAGGAGGTAGGTAATCTCCAAAAAAATTTTTCTATTATTTAATTTTTAATTAAATGTTTTGCACCATCTCCAGTAGGCTCAACAACACATAGAGCTCCCTCTACAATTTTTGAATTCTGTGCTTTTCCCAGATGAGACCCCAATCTGTATGAATAGTATAGCCGACAAATTCGTGTTTGGCGAGAGCCAACAAGAGCTGCACAATTAGCGCATGCCCGCCCCGACTTCCTTCCGCTGGTGGCAGTGTTATGTTTTGGGCAGGCATTATGGCAGGTGATCGTACGGAATTGGTGCTCATTGACGGGACTATGACAGGACAAAGGTATATCACACAGGTTTTAGAACCACATGTAAGACTATGAAGAGGAGCTGTGGGTGAAGATTTTGTGTATATAAATGCCCGCCCACATAGGACTCATGCAGTTAATGACTGATCTTGATACACAAGGAATTCGTCGTTTGGAGTAGCCTGCGATGTCGCCAGACATGAACCCAATTGAACATGCCTGGGACATGCAGATATCATCCCAGAACCCATCAGGAAGTTCTGTTCTATTAAAAAAAGTATGTGCCAACTGAATAATTTTCATTGTATAATTGATCAATAAAAGTAGTTTGGTACGATTTATCATAATAATGGGGATTTCAGGTGATGCATAACTTTTGAAATTTGTGTGTATAATCTTCTTAGATAATCTTAGATAGGTAATCTTAATTTTACTATAGATTTCGCGGATAAATCTAAAGCCGGGTGTACAATTGTCGCATTGGTTCGATCGTAGAACATAACCTTGTGCAAAGCACCCCACGACGTGGCGATGGAGAACCTTAAGGTTCTTTTGTCAGCTGGGTGCTTTGCGCAAGCTTATGTTCTGCGACCTGCGACAATTGTAGACCCGGCTTAAGACGCAAGAGAATGTGTAAAGCTGGGTTCTAACAGAGAAATTTCTCTGTTATTAATAACGTAATATAATTTAATTTAACTTTAAAAGTAATTTAATTTAATTTACTTGCGTTCATACAAAAAGTAACGTAATTTAATAGTGTTTGAAATTAAAAACAATATTTTAAAGAGAGTGCTTACTCAATGTATCTAAAACTTAAAGTTTTAGATATATATATATATATATATATGCTGTAATTGTACCTGTAATGAAATAAATTATTATTATTATTATTATTATTATTATATATATATATATATGGCTTACTTCGGTAATTACAATCGAAATATTTGTCTTATTATTAAAACCGTTTACACAAAATAGGTTAGACCCAGTGAACCAAACCGTGACTTATGACCTAAAATTTACGTAACACGTAGATCATATCTAGGTAATACAATTTTTACGTCATAGTGACATAATACTGACCCAAAACGTGACTTTTATATGATGTAATTAAATGACTTACATATTACGTACATCTTATGTAATATTAAAGTCATATCGTGACGTAATATTAAAGTCACTTTTCTTACGTAAGACTGACATAAGAAATCTGTCATAATATTACATAACTTTTAGGTCACTGTCTTACGTAAGACTGACGTAATAAATCTGTCATAATATTACCTAAGTGTAAGGTCACTTTCTTACGTAAGGCTGACGTAAGAAATACGTCATACTATTACATACGTTTTAGGTCACTTTCTTACGTAAGACTGACGTAAGAAATCTGTCATACCATTACATAAGTTTAAGGTCACTTTGTAAGGTAAGACTGACATAAGAAATCTGCCATACATATTATTTAGACGAACTAGATGCAAAAGTAATTTCAAAGTATGAAATTCACTGTATTTTAATGTTTGAATTAAACTAATTTCAATGAATGGACTTTTATTTTCAATGAGTGAAATAGGCAAACATAATTTTTTTTTTTATTGATTGAAATGGTTAATTCAAACATTGAGTAAAATAACGTAAGTAAATTCTATTAATTGAAATTGACGCCGATTATTTTAAACAATAAAATCAGTGGATACTTTTCCTTACCAATGAGTTTAATTCAAACATTAAAATACAGCAAATTTCATATTTTGAAATTACTTTTGCATCTAGCATGATGAAAGAAATAACGCGAAGTTCCTTGAATTTTTTGGCTACTTAGTACTTGGTCGATTAAATGAAAATATGGTTTAAAACCAATCAAAAAATAATGTATCTTAATTTAATATGTAATAAACATCATATAGATTTTTATGATTCCGGTTCCTACTGCTTTATGACGTAAAAAATTTTAAAAATAGCGTCGTACTTTCAAAAGTACACATTTTATTCAATGGTCATGTGAAAAATCATGTAGGTATCATGGTTGCAAGTACTTGCAAGTACCTACTTATTTTTTAAATTGTAAAAAATTATCAACAAAAGATTTACGTGTTATTACGTGTTAACTTGTTATTTTTGTATTGTATGTTACTGTTATTATTTTTTGTTTCACCCTGTACAATCGAAAAAATAAGTAGTTACGCTTTAAAAGACCTGAAATGATATTTCACTCACTTCATTTTTTTTAAATGTGACCTTGGCAGTACGACGTCATTTGTTTTTTTTAAATCCATGCATGTCAAAAAATGTTACCTATTAAAATACTAAAATTTTAAATTTCTAAAATAAAAATAATTTTTAAATGTTGAATATTGTTCCTAGCTATATATAGCTATAGCTACTCATAAAAAGCGATTTTTTTTTGTTCTTACTTCTGACATACCCTGTAAAGAATCTGAAAAATTAGTAGTTGGTTCAAAATCCATTGTGAGTTGGTTTTGATCAGCTTCATAAATTAGATAAAGTATCAGCTTGCAATAAATACCTTTTCGGTAATGATTAATCAACCTATATCTTACGTAAGCGTGACTTGACATGACGTCATATTTACGTCATATTTACGTAATTGTGTTTACTGGGGATTCTCCCAAAATAGGTTAGATACACAAAACTAGAAGGTGGGTTGGGTTGGGTTGGGTTCTTATAGTTTTGTGGTTAGATAATACGAAACAACCTTGAAATAACGTAATTTAATTTAAAAGATAAAAGTTGGCCAACTATTAAATTAAGTTTTAAATTACATCACTGTATGAACGTTACAAAGGATTGTTGGGTTTTTAACTTTTAAGTTAAATTAAATTACATCTTAAATTAAATTACTTTTCTGTTAGAACCAGGCTTAAGTCCCAAAAGTTATTTTTACAGTACTAACTGAAAGCGGTAAAATAACAGTCCATACAAATACGAAAAAATACATGGGGTAATACCCCAGGGGTATACCCCATTTATGGTGTAATACGTTATTTTTACTACATAATAACTATACAAGCGACCAAAAGATTTACATAATAAAGTATACTTTTATTATTATTATTTATAAATTAAATAAGTACCACATATTTACGTAAAAATAACGTTACAATTATTTAATGTTTATTTTCCCTTTACCTTTATATGTATATTTTCCCTTTAATTTATAGGGAAAATATACATATAAAGGTAAAGGTAGGTATTAATTAATACTTTAAAGTTTACCACAAGAAAAATTGAAAAATATAACTTATTTTGACAAAACTAATTATATTTACCTATAGCATTAAAACTTAAACTCATCTTAACCAGGCTTAAGTCCCAAAAGTTATTTTTACAGTACTAACTGAAAGCGGTAAAATAACAGTCCATACAAATACGAAAAAATACATGGGGTAATACCCCAGGGGTATACCCCATTTATGGTGTAATACGTTATTTTTACTACATAATAACTATACAAGCGACCAAAAGATTTACATAATAAAGTATACTTTTATTATTATTATTTATAAATTAAATAAGTACCACATATTTACGTAAAAATAACGTTACAATTATTTAATGTTTATTTTCCCTTTACCTTTATATGTATATTTTCCCTTTAATTTATAGGGAAAATATACATATAAAGGTAAAGGTAGGTATTAATTAATACTTTAAAGTTTACCACAAGAAAAATTGAAAAATATAACTTATTTTGACAAAACTAATTATATTTACCTATAGCATTAAAACTTAAACTCATCTTTTATATATAAAAATAGCTATGATTCAACATAAAAAATCTATGCACTCTATAATTATAATTATTCTAGTGTTTAAAATACATATGTAGGGGCCGTCCATAAATCTCGCGACGATTGTGAGGGAGGGGGGTTTGAAGAACCGTCACGATTTTGTGTAGGTTTTTTTTGTCACGTGCCATAGTCAAACGAATAAAATTGACCATTTATAAATGATTAGAATATATTCTATTATTAGACAAAGAATCGGGTCAATTTTGACCATTTTAGACTCAACAAGAGATTTATGGATGGCCCCTAACCATTGAATTTTTATGTTTTAAAAATGGTGTATTGTAAAAAAATTAATAAAAAATTATACTAATAAAATTGAGATAAAATCCCCTTATCTTGGCGTGTGCTGTGCGAAAGCTCGCACTCCTCCGCGGTCGGCGCTAGCCTCTAGCTACAAAATATTGTCAAAGCACCGAGTTCGATTTAATTCTGTCCAAGCTGTTGCATAGTATGGACATAGTAGTGAAATGTGCAAAGAGTTTATACAACAAACGGTACGCGGTAAACATTATAGAACATTGCGATTTTATCAAATGATCAGTGCATCTTGCTAGCCAATTAACGACTAGTAATTATTTGGATCCCTGATATACAGAAAAACAACAACAGTGCAAAATGTGGTGCTTGATCAGCCAGCCGAATTCTGTTGTTTTCGAGGTCCGTTGCGACCCCAAGTCCATTGGCGAAGAATGCCTCGAAAAGGTAAGATTTTCCTCTAAAATATTTTATTCATATATAACGTTTTTGTGCGGCTCTATTCGCATGTCTTGTCTTCTCTGACGGCGACGATACGCTTTTGTTTTCGTCAACCGTTTCAATCAAACCAGCTGTAAACAAACGAAAAGGGCATTCTTAATATGCATATTATCGACTTATTTTAATTGAACCTAGTTTTACAAATATTAATTTAAGATACATTTTTCAAAACCCAGAAAAATTACTTCGGGAATCAAAACAAAACAACCAATTGTAGATAAATTTGTTCAAAAACATAGGTACCTATTTGGTAAAAGATTTAATCTCAATAAATCAAAAATAGTATTTTTGCGCTTTGCAATTAAGTATAGCTGTAAATAAAATATTGTTCACCGAGTGAGCACGTTTTCTACGGGTACAAAGTCCAATTACAGGTAAGAGTCCAAAGTCCAACGTTCAATTTTGTAATTTCTGACAAACTGTTTAAACAAATTGTCCCCCTTCTAATATAAATTAATAGGGAAATTGCTGCTAGAGCATTACCTACATAAATGAGTAATAATTTATTTGTTATTTATGTTCCAGCCGGGCTGGACCAGCCCAAAGCAAAAAATGTTTATGCTAAAAGGGCCTTAACGTATTCGTGTATTTTAAAATTTGTGCTCTAAAAACCCGATTAAATATTTATCGAATCCCTTTAAAAAAAACACACCAAACATCAATTAAATTATTATTTTAAGATCAAAGAGATGATTTTATTATAAGTATTAATAAGGTGCAGAATATTTAGGGCAAGGTATCAAATTAATTAATTTGATACCTTGCCCTAAATATTCTACACCTTATTAATACTTATAATAAAATCATCTCTTTGATCTTAAAATATCATGACGAGGTTTTATTTCGAAATTACAATGGGCCCTCTTGCTCGCAAATTATTTCGCCCCCATTTGGTGCTTTTGTTTTAAACACAAAAGTCGCCATTGTTTTAGAGCATTTTAAGCTCTTAAGTACATTGGGGACGATATGAATTGGACTTTGGCTCTGTAGGTGGTTATGACGAAAAAAATCCTGAAAATTGTGCCAGGACTAAATTAAATATGCATTCGTTTACATCGTGCACGAAACGTGAATGCGGGGACAAAAATACATATATTTTAAACCTGTTTTAACGTTTGTTGTCAGAATTACTTAAGTACTCAATAGCAAATATTTGGTAGTAGAAAAAAATAAAACTTTAGAGTTAGGTTGTTGTAAGTTACAGTTTTCTTAAAGCTGCGATTTTGTATCATATGTAGATGCGATATGAGGTAAATCTGAAAACTTGTTTTCTACATTTAATTTTACCGCTGAAAAGTTCCAACATTAGCATTTAAATAATCTAATCCTATTAGGTACTCTTTAAATTAGCGTTAATTAAAATAATTACAATAAAGGCAGACGAGCCTAATTGATTTAATTTTTTTAATAATCCTGTTACTGATATCTACAGTTATAAATGTTTTTTGTGTTACTATAATGAAGCTTATCCAATTCATACCTAATTCTAAGGTTGCTGGTCAAAGTACAAAGTCCCACAATTATTATTAGTATGCTACCTAACCATTTTATTACTTTGACTATTTATCTCGGTGAGGTGCCCAGAAATATTGTCTGAGGGGGGGGTAAAGCGTATAAAAGGGTAGGAGAAAAAAATTAAGATCTTACCAATCGATTGGTAATTAAAAAATATATTTCTTCACTTTTTTGTTTGAAAATTTTAAGCCCCCATGGAAACGCCACTGATTTATCTTAATGTAAATTATTTTTATTACTTCCAGTGCAATTAACCATGGAATCGGTGTACTTTTACTAAAATTGATTATTACATTATGTTCAAAAAATTTGCATTTGCTAATGCATTTTAAATCCTTGAACTTTAAAAATAAACAAAGTTGTTCCTTATACCTAATCCTTGTATAGAAATTTGCAAAATAATTTGAATAAATCAATACTGGTTAAACCAATTTTGTATAGGATTAAGTATATTTTAACAATTGAGTTTGGGAGCTTGTGAAGTTTTCAACTTATAATTGAAGTTATACGTAGTTAGGTCTTCCCATTCGACTCCCAGATATAAAAATATTTACGTTTTCAATTTTTTAGTACTCAATTAACTATAAATAAAAAATTACTTTTCTTTGAAATTTATTAGCTCTAAAAACTTCAAAGTAAATTACTGAACTAATTAATATGACTTTAATGTTTAATGTCAAAAACCTCTTTCACTCCACCTGCTTTATTTTTGCCTAAATGTTATAACACAAAAAAGTACAATTACAAGTGTTTTATTAATGAAACAGTTTTTAAAAGCATGTTGGTTTTTATTAAGGGTTTTAAATTCATTTAAATTGAAAATAAACACTTGCAGTTTGGAAGATTCAAAGTTATTTTGATTAAAAGATTCCCCAGCTATAATTTAAACTTAACAAAACTACAACCAATTTTCACTAAATCTCGGCAAAACGTTTGTTTAAAATTTCTCATTACTTTGCCGAGCTATTTCGAGATTATCTCTTTGGTTAAAAATATACATTATGCAATTTTGTGTTTTGCATTCAAGAAGTAAACAAAATACGGAAGTTGAGGGCATTGCAATTCTCAGCCGTTACGTGTAGAATCAGGGCCGGATTTCGAATTACGAGGGCCTGGGGACATTTTCTTGGAATATTTATTTTAATGACTCTTGCAAGTTTCAAATGCATTATTTGCAAACTAAGGATCATCATTGGATTTACTACGCGATCTTTTTTCAAATGCGTTAAATTTTGATGGTTTTCAGTTTTAAAAAAGATATTTTTCGTTGTTTTGTGTCATTGCAGAAACTGGCCTATGTACTAATATTACTTTTTATTAGATAAAGTAAAATGTTATTAATTCTTTTCCCTTTATCATATTGGTGGAGGTCCTGGGACTCGATGCTACGTCCGGCCCTGTTTATAATTATAATCCGTATTTCATATTTCTATCACAACTAGCAACAAGAGCGAGCAGCATAGCAAATATGTTTCACAAAGGCCTTTGAAGTCGAAATTTTCATTGTACTTACATAAAATGGTACATTGTTAAAAAATTAAGCGGATCATTTTATTTGCCTACAGTAAACATGGCGTAATTTAGATAAGATAATACTTTTGCTGACATAAACAGACACATTGTCTGTGCAGCACAAGTAATCCCTAAATTTAATTTAAAGAAAACAGAATTCGTCCGCGCAAGGCTTTTTCTTTCCCTTTAAAAACTCCTGCAGGAGCATGCTGAAGGAAACTAATTTGACGGTTTCCATTGGCTTGAAGTAAAACAGTTCGAAATTAAACCTTTTTATACGGCAAAACGTCCTTAATGAAACCGTGCCAACTTCTTTGAAATGCTGATTGATTGTTTTGATTAAGAAGATTTTGGCGCAAAATTATCGCCTAAAGCCTTTTAAAGCAAAAAAGTTCGGCCCGGATTATATTTATGAGATTGAAAAGCTTTAATATAAAATTGTTTTATCAAAAATGCCGCCCTACATCAAGGGTGGTGAATACAAATACGTCCCCTTGTACTTCTTCAGTAATTTCAGGATTTCTCCGTGTCCTTTCTACATGTCAATCGATATAATATCGACGATATTCAGATTCACATAAATCAAGTAATATCGCCGCGGCACGCCGGTTACATTATTACTATTTAAATACATATTTTGCAATCTTCTTATTCCGAATTTATTCAATTAATATGCTTGCTCGTACACACTGAAACTCAGTCGGTTAAATACATATTTTGCAATCTTCTTATTCCGAATTTATTCAATTAATATGCTTGCTCGTACACACTGAAACTCAGTCGGTTTTTCTTAAGCTAAAGTCCTTTTTCAAGGACTCTAGAAGTGCCATATAAAAGCAAATGTACGCGATAATGACGAGGCACGTAAATAACTTATTAACTTGAAGAACGCTCGCTATCGTATCTTTAAAAGTTGCCTTTAGAAGATTAGCAAAACTACGTTAATTAAAATTTAATCAATAAAGTTCATTAAAAAGGGAGTAAAATTGGACAAAAATGACCGACTTTATCATAGAATAAATAAACCTTCAGACTACGTAAGAAAAGATAAAATAGTGATATGTGATTATTTTCTTAATAAATAATTAAAAGAGAATATTAGTTCATTGGCTTCTTAAAAAGCTATTATTAAAAATAAAAATTCACAATTATTTAATGAAAAGGCAAATGTATTCTTGCGTAATATTTGACTAAAACACGCATAAAATTAATAAGAATTTCATAAAGAAAGCGACATACCTTTCACAATTCGCAATACTCTTAAATACAAACAAACCTTTGCAATATGAAAACTAGTTATTTTTCGCGAAATAATGTTCAGAAAGCTAAAACTTACTGTGCATTATTGCAAATCGAAGTAAACTTAATAGAAACAAATAATGAACATTTATCAGCTAATGGCACGATCTATTGAAAAAGAAGTTATCAGTTACAATCAGGCAGTTCTTTCAGTTAACTTTTCAGCCAAATTGAATGAAAGAAAGACCGAAGGAATAAAAAAAAGGGAGAGCAGAACTTTTTTAATTATGTTCCATTGTCCTAGGCGAGTTTATTTAGAAAATAACTAAGAGCCAGCTGCCTTTTTTATATTGATTTTTCTTAACATTCTTATGTTTATTTTTTTTATTTTTGTTGAAGAAAAGTCGGGACACTATTCCAAATTTACGATTTACAATTTTTAAAAGCGTCCAAAATATACAGTCTCAATAATATTAATTATGTCGAACAAATTATAACACTCATTCGATGGCGAATATTCATGACCCAAAATTCCGATAAACACTTTCGATTGAATAGATTCGGTTCTGACTGGATGCGAATTTTTTCCGCGATTGCAAAACGCCCTGTATGCAACAACAAAGCACGAGTCCAAAGTCCAATGGAATGCCCAGCCTGCGTGACCTTTCTACCCACTTCCACTTTTTCTTACAAATTATAAAATCTAACAAGCAATTTAACGCTTCGGATCAATTACAGAACAATTACCGAATCAGTGAGATAGAGAGAGACGGAATGTCATCTGTCCACGTGATGGGCGAGTGTCTAAATGGATTTGTACGCGTTGCCGCTTATTAAGTTACTCACTCGTCTGAAAGGAAGCCCATTGTTTTAGAAATCTCGGTACAAAGTCCAAGTTGCGGGAAACACGCTCCGAGAAATGTCAAGAGGAACGTGGTCGCCGGCATGCCGAGATAATGAACACAAGTCTGTTCCACTTGCGGGCTAACCGCAACAAACCACCAAATTATCTAGTTTAAATCAAGAATTTTCACATGGTCATCAGCAATAAACAATATATTAGATAATTAAAACGCTTTTTAATAAAATAAAACTTTATATTTTATGTTCTTAAGATTGTTTAATTTTCACTTGTCGTGGAGTAGATTTATAGCCTCGGAATATTATTATACCTGTAAATAGTATGCAGTATTACGAGGTAGGCTATGGAGCTGGACTTTGTACCCTACGATTCTAAATAAGGTTGATCAAAGATTGCCAAACAATTGATACAAGGCTTTTTGTGTTTTTATGTCCAATTAGTATCCAGATACAAATTATTTTGTATTTTACGAAAGTAAAATGCTATTTTGATTTAAAATTCCTTGCTTTGGAAAAGCATTTATCCCCGAAGAAAAGTTGTAGAAAATCAACTTTAAAAGTAAAGTTTTAGATCTCCCGTATTTGTCGATTTAAGTTTAAAATATTCTCTAGGTTGTTTCCTATCAATTATTCGGAAAAAACAACCTGTTGTGTTTTATATTTAAAATGCAAGAGATTTATCGACAGGAAACCGAAATATCGTAATGGTGCGCATTAACGACGAAGCATTTATCTGACTTATTTTTTTTGTCGCTTCCACTTCGTGCGAAAACATTAATTTAACGGTTTTAACAGAAAATGGGTCAAGCTGTGATATTTTTTCCCTGTCAAAATAATAATATTTCGTGCTTTTCAAGCATTTCGCATTGAACTTTCGGTAATTCAGTTTAACATCGAATCCCTAAATTCCATTCTGAAATCTCCGGAATTTCGCATACTTACAACAATACATTTCAAAATGTTGTTTAATCTCCATTCAGAGTTTCGCTATTGTTGGATTTTCATTCTGGCAGCTTGATTTCAAGTAGGTATTTAGTTTTCATATGATTTTTGCACGAGTTCGATCGGCCTTCGCTCGCAAAGACAATTTAAATGTATCGCGGCGGACTTTGGACCGACTATTTATATTAACACGCCGAGATCAGCCACCAGGGATTCCAACAACACTCTAAAGTGGGCGTAATGGGACCAAAGTCCACAATCTTTAGTCATTTTGCATCTCTCTCTCCCGTTCATGAGTGTTAAATTACTTTTATCAGAAAGTTCATTCTCGTTGTAAAAAAACGAGAAAGCTAATTTTTTTAACAAACAAATTTCTCAATAAAAAATCATATTTGCGAGGAGATTGCAATCCATCGATTTATTACAAAGTAATAGTAAGTTAACGGCGACAATTGTCGCCTCTTCGTCAATCATTCAATTTTTGACCAAAAGTTTGAAAAACCTGCTCAAGATAAAAAAAGGTCACATTTCCTAAAGCTGTTATATTATGATATGTGGTTGTTATAGTGCAAAATTGGCAATAATTATTGCTCCGGTAAAGGGTTGCCAATACCAAAATCCTAAAATAGGTTCCCGGGGCCAACCATAACTGGCTACGGCATTAATCATCTATTACGGTAATATTACGGAAATTATGTGGCGGACAGAAAGGAAATAACAGTACGGCATTGTGGAAGTTAATTAAAATACGTATTATTTCAGATTAATATTGATCTTTCGGCTTAACGTTACGCAAAAAACTGACGGATAAAATTAGCGCTACGTGACAAGGTTTTGTTTATTTAGGACCCCTTCCAGGTAAATCTCAGCCGCCGTTTAACATTCAAATTGGATCTGTATTTGGCAAACACTGTTTGCGTGTAATCAAAATAAGAAAAAGTACAGATTTTAAAATAGAAACTTAGGAAAAACATATAATACCTTTGTAATTCCTTAAAATGCGTTCAAATGAATAAAACAATAGAGTTGTTAATCAGATTAATTCAGAAAAACATGTTTATTTATTATTTTTATCGGTATGTTCCAATTTTAGCATAATCAATAAAAATATTCGAATATAATAAAAATGAACGTATAGTAAAATTAAATTACCTTATACGCAAAGTTCAATAGTACAGTACAGGGTACAGTAAGTTAATGTAATATAGCAATTAATTTATTATATACCGACAATGTAACACGTAAATTGATGTTTTCAATATTGATATTCGACGGAATACGAAAAAACTATTAATAATTAATTTGGTCCAACGAAATCAATACAAAAAAAACTATTAATAATTAGTTTGTACCAACAATATCAATACGTAGGTACACGACATATTTGAAAAGGGTGATAAAGGGAAAATTACCTGTGAAAATACTGCAGTAAGAGTGGAATAGTCGTTAAAACGATATTTAGGATTTAATAACAAATTTATACGTTAACTTAGCTGCGGCGATAAATTTCCTTTATACCTAAGAGGCATTCAGCCAATATTTATCATTTTTACTATATAAAAGGCATTTTGTAATAGTTTGCTCACGGGGCGCTGTAATTGAATTTTCTGCATCAATTTAACGTTCGAGTCATCTACGGCGTTCGCTTTCTTATTAATTTTTATCGGGCTGCATATTGGGGGCTGAAACATTAAATGAGAAATTCAAGGAACACAGGGCCGGTGTAAGGACATTGACAAGGGTTGATAGGCGAAAATAGATTTTGTAAAACTTAGAGAATATGTAGAAATAATTGTTAAATTTTTTGTAGGAAACTGTTTTTTCTTATTTCACTGAAGTTTTATAAAAATAAAAACTTCTATACAAATTTTAATTTATCACAATCTATTCCGTGTCGAAAAATCAAAAAATTTAAACAAAGCAACAAAAATACACAAATTAAAATATTTTCACACAATCCCAAAAATGATTTGGATTGATGCATTAAAATTGGAAACTACCAGTTTAAGCTCAAAAAGTGTTTGTTGATTTATAAAGTGAATAAAACAATATACTGCTTTGTTAGTGCGAATATTGATGTATTACATTAAATGATTTCCAAAAATAATGTGGTAACTAATGGTGTCAAATGACTTACAGCCGCCCCTGTTAATGCCAATGTTCTTCTCTTTCTTTCAAAACTCTTCGTTTTAAGATCAATTTATCGGTTTGAATATTTTACGATTAAGATCGTTACTTTAGTTTATTGACTCTCTAAAACCCATTTTTAGTGTTTACCACTTGTAAATGTACGTTCTTGAATAGATTAAAAGATCTATTTAGCCAGTGAATGAGTGAGTGGAGTGGTGATAAATTGGGTCAATGTTTATAAAATACCGACATGCTGAACGTCACGTCTCACAAACATAATTATAAAACGATAATCCACTGGTTGGCCCGCACGTTTACCCAGAAATTATATAAAATTTTGGTCTCGCGCAACGGTAATATTAAAGGATAAGCCTTAGCTTACCCACTCGACTATTTAGCATGTATGCCGTTAAATCTAATTTTACAAAATTGTAAAATTAATTTTCAACGTGCTCGAAATACCTCAAATTTTCATAAAATTAAATTTTCATTTTCCTCGTTTGGTTGTTTTTAAATAAGCTGTCCTTCTTTTGTTAAAATATTTATTCATTTTAAACTTAATGGAATAACTAACAATTTAAGGTTCTTGCATTAATTACTGACCCAATATGCATATTATTTCAATATTTACAATACCTTGTTTTTGTCATTTTCTCTGACTCACTATTTTATTTTTCGTAAAATCTTTATACCAACTTAAGTTAAGTTAAAATTTCTTGCCATATAATTTATATTGATATCCAGTTTCAATAAAAAATATCCCAGTATTTGCATTTTTATATCAATTTTTTGTATTCTTTGTTCGTTATCTGCACTCCTTTTGTATAGCTAATGTACTGCGTCAAAAATATTAAAATGGCATTTTCATATACCTACCTATCGGTAGCAGTGGCTTTATCAAAATGGAATATTTACAATTCAAATGCGTTTAAAAAAACTCATTTTTTTATAGATTGCCGAAATAGATAAAATGTAATTAGTTGAAATTGAAATAAAAAGATCGGATTAACATTTAGTAAAATATCCAGTTGTCAGAATCTATTTCTACTCACATCTGGAGTGTAATGCCATTAATTTTATTAAACGAGCGTCAAAATGGAATTTTTGTTGTTTTAAAACGATTTGGTTTAACGAAATTAACTCTAATTCGGCTGTAAAACCTTAAAAATGCACATTGCATGTAAAAAGCCTTTTGTTTTTCATCTTTCGTTCTAATTTAAGTTTAACGCGGTTACTGACCCACGCTTTCGTATTTTTACAGTCCTGCTGCGGCTGGTTTATATTCATAAAAACCCATCCTGCCTAAAAATAAAACGATCATAAACAGTTTTTTCTTTCTTGTTTCAGGTGTGCAAGTATTTGGGCATCTCCAACGAGTCCGACTATTTTGGACTGAAATACGAAAGTAACAAGGGAGAGGAGTTGTGGCTGAACTTAAGAAACCCTATAGACAGACAGGTCAACTGCCATGGTCACACCTCGCCCCTCAGGTTGGCCCTCAGGGTCAAGTTTTGGGTGCCGCCCCACCTATTACTGCAGGAAAACACTAGGTAATTTGGCGCTCAACACAAATTAAAATTTTATTTTATCCGATTGGGGAAAATTTATATCGTTGTAAATCATATACATTTTTGTTGTCATACACGAAAACTAACATAAATAGACAGATATATTCCAATAGTTTAGAAGTTTCGTTAGTAGGCGTTATAGCACGCACCTGCAAGACTTTTTTCCAAATTAAATATAAAGCCATTCAAAATTTATCTGCCGGAAATGTTTATAAAACCACACATTTTAATAATATTTATGACCAAAGTTTTATAAATAATTTGTTTAAATATTATGTAATTGTTTTGATGGCAGCTTATTAATACGTTGCAATTAAAGTTTGCACTGTGTACTCAAAATAATTAAATAATTAGTTACCATCACGCACATTGTTACAATAACACTTTAATTTTATTAAATTCAGGACTAGATTTAGATTTTTGAGGCCCTGGGCCAATTTTCTCTTGAGCTTTTTTCGTAAATCTGAAAAAAAATAAAACCTTGATTTATACGTACACAATATACTTTTGATAATTTTTCTTATCGTTTAAAAAAATTAGAAATGTTTAACTGGTGAGATAAGATCATTCACATTGCTGATGGTACTAAATTAAAAAGTATGTAGGTCACCCCTCTAATCAAAAATTCTTATTTCCAGGCATCAATTTTACCTGCATGCGCGCATAGACCTGGAGGAGAAACGTCTCCTGGGCTGCGATTGGGACAGCGTGGCAAGACTGATGGCCCTAATTGCTCAAGCGGAAAGTGGAGATTATGACCCCATTCACCCGCCCCACAACACTTACATGCAGGTCTCCACCATCACTCCAATGAACTCAGAAACTCAACCGAAACCGCTGGATCTTCTACAAATGACCATCAACGAGCACAAAAAGTACAAGGGCATGAAACGATCCACTGCCGAATATTGGTTGTTGAAGGAAATTGCTGAATTTGAAAATTACGGGGAGGAATTGTTCAACGCCAAGCCCCATGGTGCTATAATGCTGGGCGTGGGACCACACGGAATCACCATCTACGAGAAGAACAAGGAGAAACAGCTCATATCGTTCACCAACATAATCAGTGCTTCATCGCATCGTAGATCTTTTAAATTGGAATACCTCTCGATGGAAGACAAAGAATCCCTACTGGAAACCAAGTTGGATTCGAACCACATTGCCAGCAGCCTATACAGGGCGATCACGGAAAAACACGCTTTCTACAGCTGCGAGACGGTGAGGAGTGCGGTGACCACGCAGTTCATCAGAGATTTAAAAGGGACCATTGTATCTATTTTCAACGAGGACTCCACCTTGGGAAAAAAGTACGTTTTTGATATCAGAAGGACATGCAGGGAAGTTTACGACAACGCCAGAAGGGCCCTCTACCTAGAAAACAACATACAAATGTCGGCGCAAGAAAAACCTGGATGCGGACACGATAGAGATCATTGCAAAGTAAGTTATCAATAAATAAATAAATAAATATGCTAATTAAAATATAAAAATTTAGATTTTTTAATTGACATTTAAAGCAAGCACTTTAAAACAACTTTATTTATTCACAAAACAATGTAAAGCAAAAATAATATATAAACAACGTTATCCAGTTAACCTTTAGTAATTTTTCTTTTTAATAAGTTATTTAATTTATGACAACATATTTACAAGAAGTCGTAAAATTTTTGCGCGGCTCAGCTCGGTAAACAATAATAATAAATAAAACAATATTTTAAGGGTGTGCCAACAAATGTTGGCGGGCATACTATTAACTAATTTTGATATTGTTATTAGAAACAAAAATCTCGCCCTTGTAACCAATTTAAAATTTGTCGACCTAAAATTATGTTTTACAGCATGTTTCAAAATTTACTAAATATATAGGCCAGAGAAAGTTTTAAAAAATAAAAAACAATATTTGGCGAGTTAGTTTTAATGGTATTTCTTTCAAAAAATTACAATTTTGTTGTACTTTAGATTTAAAATTTATCACTTTAAAAAGTATCAATATTGTAAAAAAATACTAAAGAAACTTAAAATGTACCCTTATTTTTATCTTGAATTGCTGTAATTTACAAATTTAATATTGTTATAATAACACTGGTAGTTTTTGAAACTTTTTCCATATTTCATGCGATGGTGCTACTCCACTTAGTTTTGGTATAAGAAATCGCGTGGTAATACTTATTTTGTAAAGTAGACCGAGTTTTGGCCATTGTTTTTAATGTAAATATTTTGGTCTGAGCCCTATGCGTCAAAGTCGATTTTGACGGCCTACATAAAAATGTTTTTTAAATATTGTAAAAAAAAAAATTCCATATGCATACATTCAAATTAGTATATATAGGTATATTTTTAATCAAATACTTCAAACAAGGATCATTGCGCAATGATCCTTGGTTAAAGTATTTGATTAAAAAAAATATATAAATACTATTTTGATACTAATTTGACCATGGTCATGTAGCTACGAGTCCTAATTTAACTAAAAAAATACATTATACACATTTATAAAGTGTCCTTTAAAATAAACTATTTTTAACAAAATAAAACCCCGAGTAAAATCCTTATTTTGGCAAAAAATGTGCTGTTACGCGAGTAATTAACAACAATAAAAAAGATAGATGAGCCATAAAATATTGTAAATTTTATTAAAATCGGACAAAAATTGGCCGCGAAACAGCACTTTGGACACTTTGAAATTGTCGATTTTTTAACAAAAAAGTGGTTTTATTTCTTTTTAAGGGACTAACTTGATAAATGTGTATAATTTCTTCTTCCTAGTTAAAGTAGCTACTTGATTAAAAAAAATATATACGAATTTAAATGTTTGCATATCGAAAAAAAAAACGATTTTTACAATAAACAAAGGCTAATTAATCAAAAGGGTTATTTTTGGAATCAACTCACCCAAACTACCCTACAAAAGTTCTTGGCCACCCTGTGGAAAAAATGGCTGTCGACCAGTGTAATTTATTAGCCGAAAATAAGAGAAAGTAGGTATACTTAGCTTTTAAAATGCGAAAAATGCAAAAATAAAATAGGTCAAGCTTAGAATATCGAATATGAAGTTTTCGACTTGCACAATGTTTTGCGCAATATATTATTGAGTTCTTGTAAATAAGTTGGAAAAATTACTATTATATTGTTTTTTTTCTTCAAATTGTTTGTGAAATTCTTAAAAACCTTACTAATTTATTTTTTGCATTGTTTCAGGACTCTGAGGAAAGACTGACGAGGTTGATGGACGCGCTAACGTGCAAAATTTGCATGGACTGTCAGATCGATTCGGTGTTCCTGCCCTGCGCGCACGTGGTGGCTTGCCAGAGCTGCGCAGCAAGGTGCGACAGGTGCCCCCTCTGTCGGTCGGACATCACGCAGGCGCAGAAACTGTACCTGCCTGGCGAATTCAGGCAGCAGATACAATGTTAAAATTTACGTGTATGTGGTAAAGATGCTTCAAGATGAGTTTTATTTTTTATATACAACAGCGTCAGAGACTTAAGACTATACTTAAAATTTTTGTGAAAAATCACGTTTCTTTACAATTGGATCTCGATTAGATTTTAAGTTTTTTGGGATTAAAAAAATTGAAGGTTTTTTAATTTCATTTTGTTGACAAAAATATTGACAATAGTTTCGTTACTAATTTTTTACATCTCACAATTTTCGTTGTTTTTAAACTTTTGATTATGGAAATTGACATAGTTAACTTCTACAAGTCATTGGCATATCTTTTACCTTTTTTTATCTTGTGATTATGTGTTTCAAATCTCACATTGGGGTTTTCCTTAATTTTTTTACTGTGTAAAAACCTATCTGTAGTTAAGAACTGATTTTAACTTTTAATGTTTGACAATAGTCGTAATATTAAACACAATAATGCAAAACTATATACAAATCTTAGTCATTATCAATGCAAACTAAAATTAGGATTAGATTTAAGTTATATTTATCTATTGTGAGATAAATAGAAAGAAAATTAATATACAAAAGATGTTTAGTATTAACGAAAAAACTGTGGTGATAAAATTTATTTTGTGATAATTTGAATTGGAAAAATTCGTTACTTTTTTCTGTTTAACATCTATTTTGTATATGTTCACATACTTGTAAATAAATGTTACTTTAAATAGTCCTCGACTATTAGTATTTTGTTAGTATTAAATCTGCTTATAAATGTCAGAAATAAATACATAAATCTAAAAATCTATTAGTTTAAATTAAAACTTCTTACCTTTCCATTTAAACAGGTGTATGCTAAAAATACAGAAATATTTATTGGTTAGTAAGATAAAAAAAAACCTTACCTTTTATGTTGTATTTTTTTTAATTTAATAAATAAAGAAAAATTATTGAAGGATTAATTTTTGATTCGCAACCGTGCCTTTGAAGAGACAGGTCGTTGAAAATACAAGCGCTAACTGATAAGCAAATTCGAAGTATACAGGGTGTTTCAATAAAAACTCCCAGGCCAATTATTTCGAAAACTAAAAGTGACATTTAAATTCTGTAAACGCCAGTTTTTAGTCTCTATGATTGGCTTCACAACTGTGTAAAAAAATTGTTTGGATAATACAAGATGTAGGTGGCGCCACTGTGCAAAGAATTTTTTCGATGGCAGGAACTTTTAAATTAATTTTTGATCAAATTATGTCCCATACAAATTTTTGATAAATCCAACATGAAAGGAGATATTTGGGGTTAAGTTTTTTTTTTTAATAATTTTAACGAGTATTTTAATTATAAATATTTTTAATATGCTTTAGCAGATGATCATTTAATTCTGGTAATCATAATTATAGTGATAAAACGCTCGTGTAGCGTTAACTAGATTAAAATTATAACGTCCAGTGACGCCTCAGGGGGGCCCTTAACAAATAATATTGGCAAAAAATAATACGCCACTGAGTTTTTGGTAATTTTTATATTTTTTTCGGATTAACCAACTAAAAATATCCTTTTTTTGTCTGTTAAATTGTTTTCATATCTTGCTTCGTTTTCGATAAATACAAATAAAACCATTTGAAAAACAAAAATCATTAAGAAACAAAACCATAAATTATTAATACGCTATATTTTTTGCTGTTTAAAAACAAAGGTGAAACATTAAAACATAATAAAATAAAATTAAAGGATGTTTTAAATTTTATGAAAAAGTGGTAAGAAATTATAAAAGATTATTAAAGAAAATTAGAACAATACCAAAAACTAACTAATAAGGTCGAATGAGGTGTTCAAAATTATTGCCGTTTTTATACACACATATCAAATCGATATAATAATTCGGTTCTGCAAACTTTCAATAGTGTATTTTGATTAATAGCGGCTATAGTAAAGGATGTTTTAAATTTTATGAAAAAGTGGTAAGAAATTATAAAAAATTATTAAAGAAAATTAGAACAATACCAAAAACTAACTAATAAGGTCGAATGAGGTGTAACTAACTAATAAGGTCAGCCATGTCTTCTATTGGTTCCTTGTAGACTTCATTTTGTAAGCCGCCCCATAAATAAAAGTCAGGGGACCTTGCTGGCTATCTAAGATCTTCATTTGTGCTGATCACTTTTCTTGTCATTTAGATGATTCATAACGATATTGCTATTGTGTGCTGGGGCACCGTCTTGATGAAACCACATAGTATTAACGTCAATTTCCAAATTTTGTAACAGCAAAGTTAGATCGTTTTGCAGAAATTGTAAATAACGAACTGAAGTTAAATGTTCATGGTACAAATAGGGCCCGAATATGTAACCATTTACAATACCGCACGAAACATTTACCCCAAATCGTGTTTAAAATTTAGTCTGTCGTATGCAGTTAGGATTTTCCTGGGACCAATAGCGACAATTATGATTATTAATTACTCCATTATTGTAAAACCGGGATTCGTCACTCCACATAATTTGGTTTAATAAATTTGGATTTTCTTCCAAAAGAATATGAAAATGTGTCAAAAAGTTTAATCTGCGCTGGTTATCTCCTTATTGTAGATGATTCTCTAGATGAACTTTGTATGGAAAAAACATATTTCCTTTTAGGAACTTACTGAAATATTGGTTTCATCTTTTAATATTAGAATATTAGTTTCATCTTTTAATTTTCGTAATGACGATTGTGGGTTATTTTTTACTGATTGGAGGACTAAACCTACATTTTCGTCAGTCGTATCCCTCTTCCTTCTTGGAACCGTTTCCTTTTTAAAGATACCATATGAAGCTAAGTTGGTACACAAAGCTACAAAAGATTTGCGATCTGGCGTTGGTCTCGATAGCAGCGCACAGCTTCTGAAGCATTTTGATGTCATTCTCCATAAACTAAAACCATGTAGGTATGTTCAATTTCCCTTGTGGAAATTTTTTCTCTGAGAAAGTCTTACTTTCTCTGAAAAAGTCTGAATAATACTTATTAAGTCGGAAAAAGTCAGAATAAGACTTATTAAGTCGGAAAAAGTCTGAATAAGTCTTATTAAGTCAGACTAATAGCAAGATTTGGGAGTCTTCTGGAAGAGTTAATAAGACTTTTTAAGACTTAATAAGACTTTTAGTAGAGAAATGGTAGGTTCCTATGGCGATAAAAATAAATATCCGAAATAATTCATAGAGATTGTAAGTATTTGGTTATCGTAAAATAAAACACATAGACAAGTATTTATTAACATTTTTGCTGTTGTTATAAGCCAAGTTTATTGCATAATTACCTATATACTAACATAGGTAAGAATCTTACCGTAAGATGTAATAATTATAACAATTATAATTTTATACATACGATGCGCTTAACATGTTTTCATTGTTTCCAATATAGAAAAAGGAGTTAATATCAAGTCTATAGACATGATATTTTCGATAGACTCATAAGACAAATATGGTTGATCTTCGTGTTTCATTCATCTTTGTATCATGGTTGATCTTCGTGTTTACGTACAGTGTTGCCATAAAAGTTCCTGACCATAAATTACAAAATACTAAAATAATAATAAAAATGTAACAAGATAGAATAAAATAATTGTGCATATTTAGTAAATATACAATATTATTTACTGAAAATTTCTTTTGTTATTATTTTGATAGAAATTTGCAAATCACCCGCAAATATTATGAAAATACCCGATTTTCGAGTAAAATACTTGCAAACGGCAACACTGTGTCCCACTGACAGGTCAGCTGTGCTCTAATTGGTCAGCTAGCTAAGCTGGTCTCTCGATATTACGTCTTACGTCTATTGTTTGTAACAATGTTTAGATAGGTAAATATTTGCGTGTATCAAAAGAAACTATTAAAATAAAACGTACAGTGGCAACTCCTTTTTCTATTGTGGAAGCATGCATGTCAAGCGCATCGTATGTATAAAATTATAATTGTTATACCTAATTATTACATCTTACCTATGTTATTATATAGGTAATTATGCAATAAACTTGGCTTATAACAACAGCAAAAATGTTAATAAATACTTTTCTATGTGTTTTATTTTACGATAACCAAATACAACCTCTATGAATTATTTCGGATATTTATTTTTATCTCCGTAGGTACCTACCATTTCTCTACTAAAAGTCTTATTAAGTCTTAAAAAGTCTTATTAACTCTTCCAGAAGACTCCCAAATCTTGCTATTAGTCTGACTTAATAAGACTTATTCAGACTTTTTCCGACTTAATAAGTCTTATTCTGACTTTTTCCGACTTAATAAGTATTATTCAGACTTTTTCAGAGAAAGTAAGACTTTCTCAGAGAAAAAATTTCCACAAGGGTTGTCTTGATTTGTATGGTGAACCATTTTTATTTTAGAAATGTAGAAATTGCAAATTCTTACACTGACACTAAGTAAAGAAAAATTTACTTGATGTTTCTAAAATTCATTTGTTTTTATTTAATGATTATTGTTTTCCAGAGATATGCAGTGAAATGGTTTTATTTTTATTTCTCGAAAACGAAGCAAGATATGAAAACAATTCAACAGACAAAAAAGGATATTTTTAGTTGAATAATCTGAAAAATATATAGAAATTACCAGACACTCAGTGGCATATTATTTTTTGCCAATATTATTTGTTAAGGGCCCCCTGAGGCGTCACTGGACGTAATAATTTTAATCTAGTTAGCGCTACACGAGCGTTTTATCACTAAAATTATCATTACCAGAATTAAATGAACATCTGCTAAAGTATATTAAAAATATTTATAATTAAAATACTCGTTAAAATTATTAAAAAAAAAACTTAACCCCAAATATCTCAGTTCATGTAGAATTTATCAAAAATTGGTATGGGACATAATTTGATCAAAAATTAATTTAAAAGTAGCTGCCATCGAAAAAATTCTTTGCATTGTGGCGCCACCTACATCTTGTATTATTCAAAAACATTTTTCACGCAGTTGTGAAGCCAATCATAGAGGCTAAAAACTGACGTTTACAGAATTTAAATGTCACTTTTAGTTTTCGAAATAATTGGCCTGGGAGTTTTTATTGAAACACCCTGTAGAAGATTTTCCTTCATCCGTAAGTTTTTATTTCCTTTTCCATTTCATTTTAATTTCGTTTGCATATCATTTAATAACCAATAGAAGTAGTTAACCTCACTTCGAGGAGCATGTTTAACCCCAATTCCCCGGATGATCCGGGGGGTGGCTCAGTTGGTAGGGATGTAAATTTTGTAAATGATGCATTGTTGGGATCGCCTTCCGCGAAGGAGGCTGCCCACATTTTGGTTAGATTATGTGAAGATGCGAGATATAACCTCGATAATGAATTTTTTTCACAACTAAATATGTCAAAAGATACACTTCTTCTTCTTCTTCTTTCTAAGTTCGGTATTGACAGTCTTGGAGAAACTTCTAGTCGGTGACCCAACATCGATCCCGACTTCTCACGAGCTGGCACGAACCGCCTTATAACGTGACGTCATAATAATAATCCGGTTTTGTTCCCCGAACATACAAAATTTGTTGTCAAGCTAGATAGCTTAGATGGTAGGGCGTTGGCTTTGCATGCGAGAGGTCCCGGGTTCGAAACTCAGAAGTTGTCGAATTTTTTTTATTTTTTTATTTCATAAATTTGTTGTTCCTTTGTTAAAAAGTGTTTTATTTTTATCGTAACATAAATTTGCCCATTTTAGTTGGGTTTTTTGCTCAATGGGGCGGGGGGGGGGCCAATGGGGCGGGGTCGGTTGGGTTGTGTTGTTGAGTTTGGGTTGGTTTGGTTTTATT